CTCTAAGAAAGCACATGGATTCTCCTCTTCAGGATATATTTCGCGACAAAATAATTTATTTTGTCCTACAGGAATGTGGGGCAAAATGGTTTTTGTCTCACAGAAATGTGAGACAAAATAAATTCTTCCGCCGCGAAATATATCTTGAGAGATTGTGAAAGGAAATTTTACATAAACAATTGTAAAAAAAAAATCGCGTGAGAGATTCTTCTTCCTAGGCAAAGATTTTTCACTTGCAGACAACGGGGATGACGCCATTGATGTATGCAGTGAAGGACAACCGTAGCGCGTTGCTCGATCGGATGATCGAGCTCGGATCCGACGTGGGCGCCAGAAACAATGCAAGTATTCCGCAACGAATTAGATAATTAATTCGCTCAATGGACCGAGATAACTTTTTATCTTCGATAAAATTTGAAAAAAAAGAGATGAATTAATCTGGCGTAAGAATCGCATTGTAATAGGGCGAGTGAGTTTTTCGAGATATTTTAGAGATATTCTTTAGAGGCAAAGGAAAAGAAACATGTTTGATTCATCGTTTTTTGATTCATTGCCGTCGCGATAAGTTCTCGTGCTGGGGTTACGTGGCACCGGCACGTAATAGCACCTGCGAAGGTGACGCGTGCCACGAAAGGTGTACAGCTAATGATCAGGCCGCAATCTGTGTTAAGTCGAGTCACTAAGCCGGGGGGCAGGTGGAAGGGAACGATTGCGTGAAGGAGGGCCAAGGTCAAGGGGCTTATGCTTACCGACCGAGTGGACAAGACGGGCTAAATGGATAAGTAGGCCGCCAAGTTAGCCCTACTATCAGCGAAAAAGGGATCCGATCCTTAGGGTAGATTAAAGTTTGATCGTTAAAACCCTTTAAAGAGCTGCCCGCCAACGGCTTCTAACTGCTTTTTGCGCTTGACACTGCGGACAGGGGTTCAATTATGTAGTGCAACCTTCTGAAAGTGCAACCTTCTGAAAGTCATTGGGAATGCCACACTGCAAGAACTCTATAGTAAAACGTATCGATTTTGAATGTCTTACGTGTCGGGACAAAAGAAAGGTGAAGGAGAAGAATGACGCT